GGGAGGAACACAAGTCTTATGAGGAGCAGCTAAGAGAGATGGAGTTGTTTAGCCTGGAGAAAAGGAGGCTCAGGGGTGACCTTATCACTCTGTACAACTACCTGAAAGGCAGCTGTAGCCAGTTGGAAGTCGGTCTCTTCTCCCAGGTAACAAGCAATAGGACAAGAGGAAATGGCCTCAAGTTGCACCAGGGAAGGTTTAGTTTGGTTATTAGGAAAAATTTCTTCTCTGAAAGTGTTGTGAAGCACTGGAACAGGCTGTTCAGGGAAGCAGAGTCACCATCCCCAGAGGTATTTAAAAGACGTGTAGATGTGGCACTTAGGGACATGGTTTAGTGGTGGACATGGCAGTGCAGGGTTAACGATTGCACTCGGTGACCTTAGAGGTCTTTTCCAACCTTAGCAATTGTTTGACGCCGGGACCCGCGAGGATGCCAGCCTTGCTTTCAGCTCTAGGTGGTGCTCTGAGGCCAGGCAATGCCCGGGCTTCTACAGTCTCTCAGTGCCACTCACCCTCCTTGTGCTTCGTCCTGCAGGTGGAAAAACACCGAGGCTGGGTAGGGCAGGACCCCCACCCTGCTGACCATGGCAGGAGGAGAAGCCTGTGTAACCTTTCCAAGAACTGGCTGCCATCTCCTCCTGCTGGTGTGACATCCCTGGCCGTTGGATCCCGTGTCGCAGGTGGCTGCGGAGACAGACTGCCTTCCCTGCCTCCTCATCCCTCTGCTGTCCCCTCGACCTGCCCCAGCGAGGCTGCCCCAGCTGGCCCTACCCCACCCCATCCGTTCAGCATCCCGGTAGGCTGCTTTCCCTCCTCTCCCCCTCCTGCGTGTGTAGCAATAGTCCGTCCCGGCTTTGCGGATTTAGCACAGGGCCGGCGCCCGCGGGGTTTTCCAATAGTGGTGCTCCATTAGGGCCCAGATCTGCTCTTATCACAGGCAATGCCAAAGTCCCATTGACTTCGCGGGGGCAAGAGCAAGCCCTTAATGGCCTGGGAAGGTAAGGCTTTTTTTTACTGGGTTGGGGGTTTTTTTGGTGATATTTAAAACCGTGGCCACTGTCCAAAAGCTGGGAGAGACCTCAGGCCATACTGCAAAGGCAAAGAAGAGATGCTAAAGCTCAAAGCAAACAGACGAGGCATTCTTGCAGAGGACACAAGCCTGCGCACAGCTGCTGGGGCAGTGCCATGTGCCCTGCTCCACTCCTGGGCAAAACCTGAATGAAACCAAGCTGTTTGTTCAGTAGTACAGACATTTTCAACACCATTTCCTAATCTTGGAAATCCAAACCCATTTTCTCCCCAGTTGAGATTATTGTTCTGTTTGTTGAAAGTATTTTTAGTTGCAGTGTGTATCAAAATGTTTCACTGAGCAAGTTTTGTGTGAGTTGAAAGGTGCTAATGATGATTTCTTTTTAAAAGGGTTGTCCAGAAGTGTCACCAAAAATAAAACATGAAACAAGCTTCTCAAGTGTCATTTCAAACAACAACATTCATTTTAAAGCTGGCAAGAGTGACAGCAGCATGGTTAGTTGTCATGGGGTAGAGGAACTGAACCAGTGCCTGGATCTTATTCATAGGGAAGAAGTCCTTCCTCTCGCCATTATATTTCTGGTATTTGAATAGCTTTCAATAATGAGCCAAGTAAGAAGTTCAGAAGACAGGAAAGAAATACAGATTGTGGTCAAATAAACAAAGAAGCAGCGTCTTCCTCCTGAAAAGCAAGCTGCCAGCCCCTTGGGATTAGATGCAGGTCCTGAGAAAGTGGTCCCTCCATCAGATCCTGTCATTCAATAGAGGTATCTTCTCTGGAGAGCACAGGGAGCGGAGGTGTCATCTACCTGAAAGATGACGCTACACATACTGTATGCAAAAGATAAAATACTTGGTGTGTTTATGATTATGAATGTCTCGGAGTGCTGATTTGAAGAATCCTTAAAAATGTTGAGTCTCCTCTATAGCAAACAGCTTTCCAAGATGGACTATCCTGGTGGCTTTTCACAGGCGTGTAAAAGAATCCCCAGTATACGGCAAGAGAAGACTTTTGTTGAGATGCTGCTGCTGTATGGCATTTTTGTGTATGGCATTGGGTGTTTATGGGATGAAGTTGTGGTGTAGGATGGATTATGCCCCATTGTGTGGCACACACATGTAGGTACATGCAGTGTGTACTTCGACATGAGTACTCTGTGATTTTAGTGTGCAGGTACAGAAGTTCCTGTGCAGAAGCTGTGTATCAGCAAAGCCTGTGGACATGTGAGCAACTTGCAGGAACAGTCCTGGAGTGACTGCACCATGTCACTGGAGGAGCTGTGTGCAGCAACATCAGCACAGCTGCGTGAGGAGTGTCTGGTGGGCAGAGATTTACCCATCATCTCTGTTCTCTTGCACTCTGGCTGTTCCTCTCCTTCCCTCCGTCCCCTCCCCTCAGCTCCCTTTTCTCTCTCCTCTCTAACGATCTGACAGCATTGAAAGCTTTCTCACAATTTTATTGTGAACAGCAGGTAACTGAATATTCCTCAATGCCTCAGTGTCTTCTCCACTGTGATGCCAAACATGACATGAAAAGGGTCAGCAGGTTCAGACACATGGAGGGGGCTGGAACATCAGCATGGCTGTATGATGCTTATTTGCTCAGCTGTACTTACCTTTTCCCATTTTTCCCCCAAGAGCCACACCAGTTGAAGTGAGGAGCAGCAGTGCTGACCTCTTTGTTGCCTCAGCCACTCCAGCTGTGCATGCCCATGGCCCTGGTGCACCATCCTTGCCTGGCATCTCTGGACACTCACACCTTGGTGATGAGCCTCCCAAGAGCTAATGGGCAGTGGGCACTTTGTGCCACCAAGCACTGCCATCTGCCTCCAATGGATGCTGTATGGCAGTGAGGAGGGTGCCCAGACATGAGGGTTCCCCCTCTCCTGGAGGCCACCACTTCAGCCTGTGTCCTGAATGCCCGTGTCCTCACACACAAAGTCCTTCTCTCTCGGTCCATTAGTTTGTTACCACTGCCGTGGCCAGCGGCAGGCACCCAACTCTGAAAGCTGTATTAAAAGCCAGATCAATACCAGCCCCTGCTTATTCCCTCAGGGGAAAGTAAGTAAATAATGAAAGGAGGGAGTGACTTCATTTCCTAAACCAGCAAACCTCTGAAATTAGTGCTAAGAGAGGTGCCCCAGTTCCCGAGTGGGGAACACTGGAGCTCTGAGGAGAGGCAGCTCTGCCTCAGAACTGGCAGAGCTGGGAGAGATGGTGGCTGTTCAAAACCCGGTGTATCCATCATTTCAGTGAAGGTTCTGAGGCAAACTGCTCTGGCAGATGGGCTCTGGAGCCGAGGATTGCTACAGAGTAAGGAAGAATGCCTTCTTTGCCTCAGTCTTCAATAGTGAGACAAGTTGTCCTCAGGGTACCCAGCCCCCTGAGCTGGAAGACAGGGAGCAGAACAGAGCCCCCATGATCCAGGAGGGAATGCTCAGTGACCTGCTACACCACTTAGACACTCTCAAGTCTATGGGGCTGGATGGGATTCACCCAAGAGTACTGAGAGAGCTGGCAGAAGAGCTCACCAAGCCACTCTCTATCATTTACCAGCAGTCCTGGCTAACCAGAGAGGCCCCAGGTGACTGGAGGTTGGCCAATGTGACACTCATCTACAATAAAGGCCAGAAGGAGAACCCAGGCAACTATAGGCCTGTCAACCCGACCTCAATGCCAGGAAAGGTCCTGGAGCAAATCACCTTGCCATCACACAGCATGTGCAGCACAACCAGGGAATCAGGTCCAGCCAGTATGAGTTTGGGAAAGGCAGGTCCCGCTTGAGCAACCTGATCTCCTCCTATGACAAGGTGACATACTTAGTGGATGAGAGAAAGGCTGTGGATATAGTCCACCTGAAATTCAGTAAAGCCTTTGGCACTGTCTCCCACAGCATTCTCCTGGAGAAACTGTCTGGCTTGGATGGATGCACTGTTCTCTGGGTAGAAGATTGGCTGCATGGCCGGGCCTGGAGAGTGGTGCTGAATGGAGTTACTCCAGTGAATGGAACAACCTGGGCAGGAGAGCTGCTCCCCCACAGAACCTACATCCTGTGATGAGAAATGGCCATGATTGGGTCTAGACATGTCTTATTAGTCTATCTGTGCTCTTTCTGAAACACACTTCCATATTACCTCACTTCCTCTTCCTCTTTTCCCCTTCCTCCTGTGCCACCTGCCTGCTGTGTCTACTTCTTCTTCTCAGTCCTGCTATTTCCTTCCTTATCCTTCTGCTTCTTCCCCTTTTTCTGTTGCTTCTTAAACCAATTCCAAATAGATATTGATCAGATCTAATAGATATAGATCTAATATCTATAGATATTAGATCAGAGATCATAATTTCCTCAGCCTTTCCCCCCATAGCACATCTGTTGGGTGCCCAGAGCAATCTCCTGAGCTCCCTGTTTGTCTTTCTGCCCTCACCTCATCTCAAGTTTTGAAGAAGTGATTCTGCTGCTCCTGAAGGAAAAGGCTCATCAGGTTTTCACTTCTTGCGTGAAATGACAGCAAAGTGATGTTACAAGTCTAGCTTTGGTTGATGACCTCCCTAATTTCCCCTCTACTTGCCTCTAGCAAAAAGAGAGGCTTTGACTTTTTTATGGGTTTTTTGGGCCTTCCATCTAGACCAATGTCTTGCACATCTCTGCCTCTTTATCAAGCATATCTATAACCTTTCCCTGGGCAAAACTCTCATCTCTGAAGCAAGCAGAATTTTTTTACTTATCCTACTGGTAATTTTAATGCAAATTATTCCCTCTCTACACGCATTTTGTATGACCTTCTTCCCCTAACAAATTCTCTGAGTGTCTTATTGTGGGTCTTTACCAGAGAGGCCCAGAACAAGGGAGTCCTTGTGCTGGAGCTTTCAGGCTCCAACACCATACAAACAGCAAACACCAGCGCTAATAACCCTCATCAGTCTCTATACCAGGCTGCAGCCGCGGGGTCTGTCCTTTGCTTCCAAACTTCCCCTTGGGATATTAGACTTTATTAAAAATAAATAGTTACAAATCAGTTTTACAGCTGATGGCAGCAGGGGGAAGAATGGAGGAGGTGAAAGGAGCAAATGGAGGGTCTGCTGTCCGGTCAGGTCATTTGTCTGTCATCCTGGCTGTGCCGTGCCAGGGAGCAGTCTGAGTGTGGCAAGAACTGGGCCCTGTCTCCTCCTCCAGATGTTTCAGGAGGGGGGCAGGATGTGTTTTTCAAAAGGACTGGGAGAACTGGGTCTGAGTCCATGGAGCTGAGCTGCTTCTGGAGGTGACAGATACCAAAAGCCAAGAGTAGGCTATGTAGAATGTCCTTGTCTCCTACCTTCACATTTGCAGTGGAAGAATATGGATTTCATTTCTTCTTCTGTTTTATATACAAAGAGAGAATCATGTGCAACAAGCAACAAACATGCAAGTAAACTTGTCCCTTGAGATCCTTCCCCACTCCTTCCAGGAGTCCTGAACTCTCCCTTCCATCCTCGTCTGGTCAGTGCTTAGCAATTGCTCCTCTCGTAGAGATGGCCATGACCCCTGACAGCCATGGGGCCCACCCATACCAAGAGGGGACAGAAAGTCTGCTGTTGCCTCAGCAGCAGATACACTTGCTGCAGGTCCCAGTCTGTCCTTTGAAGGCAGGGACTCTGTCATCTCTCCAGAGACAAGAAATCAGGCCTGCTGCTCTCCTGTCTCTGGGCAGGAAAGGGATCCTAGTATAAGCTGCATACCCAGGAAGAGTAGTGTATCCTCACTCCTCTTCCAGGCAGCATGACTTCACAGGAAAGTGAGTATTTCAGAGCAGCTCCCGGCCTTGATGTACTCAGGGGCTGAGAGGCAGTCATGGGACACATTTTTTGGTGGTCAAGGAACTTATCCAGTGTATGGGTGCAGAACAGAGGAGACTGTGGGCAATAGGAATGAAATGGGGAGACTGGAGGAATTAGATGGCTGACTCCCTGCGGTATGAGATTGTATCTAGAGGCAGAGTTGCCTGGAGCCGCTCCAGGTCCAGGTGGCTTCCAAAATCCATCATCTGGATGATACCTCCCTCCTCCTTGGTGCTGCCCCCTAACACCACACCCACTTCGTCATCATCTTCATCTTCATCTTGACTGACAAGTGCCAGCTCATTCTCATAGCAAAAGGCACTGGGAGGTGGGGGAGAAGGTAGGATAGTCATCTTGCTTTCTTGTAGCTCCCGGGCTGAGCAGCGAGGTGTGCCAGCTACCTCATAGGTCTTGTGAAAGCGTGAATAATCCACTTTGTAGTGGTTCTTCTCCTCAAACACAACTGGTTCAAAACGATGACCCCAAAGGATTTCACTAGCGAGATAAGAGCTTCGTGCCTGTGTGGTCATGGCTGTGGCTTCCACCATCCCCTCCAGAATAACCACAATCTCAAAGTTCTCTGTCTCCAGCTCCTCCTTGCCAATACCATAGAGTGGGCTCTCCTCATCAATCTCATGAACGATAATAATGGGTGAGACCAAAAATATACGATCAAGACCCACGTCATAGCCCACATTTAGGTCCCGCTGGTCCAGGGGGAGGTATTCCCCTTCCTCTGTCATGTAGGGCTTGATGAGCTGGGCTCGGACATGGGCCTCCACGATGTGACTCCTCCTCAGGTTGCCCACCCTCCACATGAGGCACAGTTTGCCATCCCGCACAGAGATGACTGCATGATGACTGAAGAGGAGGGTCTGGGCCCGCTTCTTGGGCCTTGCCATCTTGGCCATGATAGTGCCAATCATGAAGGAGTCGATAACACAGCCCACGATGGACTGGACCACAACTGCCATGATAGCCAGCGGGCACTCCTCAGTCACGCAGCGGAAGCCATACCCAATGGTTGTCTGTGTCTCCACCGAGAAAAGAAAAGCCCCTAGGAAGCTGTTCACGTGCATGATGCAGGGCTTTAGGAGAGAGGGACCACCTCCCACCACCGGTGCATTGAGGTCACCATGGAAGAAAGCGATGCACCAGAAGAGGAAGCCAAAGAAGAGCCAGGAGACCAGGAAGGCAGCCGAGAAGATCATGAGCATGTACCGCCAGCGCGTGTCCACACAGGTGGTGAAGATGTCGGCCATGTAGCGCTGAGACTTGTTGCTCAGGTTGGCAAAGTAGACATTGCACTGGCCATTCTTCTTCACAAAACGGTTGCGGTGCTTCCGCCGGGGAGCGTGGTCCTTCCCATTCCGGCTGTGCCCGTTCATGCTGCCCAGTGCAGAGACCTTGTGTCCATCCTCTTCAGTTGAGACGATGCTGTATCTGGGAAGAGGAGAAACAGGCATTTCCATCAGAAATATGTGAAGGGTAACAGCAATCACCAAGACAGCAAGGGCAGGAGACATGCTGGTGGCTCACAGGGCTAGAGTACCACCCTGTTGAATTTCACAACAGTACATTTTACTGGTTGTTGCACCATGGAGCCTCTCTGACCAAACTGGTGGAGGTCAGCTGCAATATTTGCTGAGTCTTGCTGCCAGGAGGTTGTATCTAGCAAAGTCCTGACAAGGCAGCAAAGCAGCAGAAGCTTGTCCTCTGTGGTACCTTCTAGCCCTTGTGATCAGGAGAGGTACAAGTCTTTGAAACCTGACAGCGGCTGGGATAGCCAAGAAGCCTGGGAGCAAGCACCCACTGCCTGGCCACATTTTGGCCCAGATATTATGCAAGGTTGGGAGTTTCTATTTTCTCCTCTGCTCTGCTCACTGATTTCATGGTGTGTGCTGACAATGTTTATACACTCCCTGCACTCAGGACAATTCCGTTGCCACAGCAACATGCATGGCTTCCAGCATCCTGTATCCAAGGCCAAAGGTGTAATTTGGAGATCAACAGTCAAAATGCTGGCAGTTTCCTTGGCAGAAGCTACACATGCTTTCTGGGAGACGTTTGCCCCTCTGGCTCCCCTCCCTTGCAGGCAGCTCTGATGCTTCCCCTCATGTGATGCTGAGACAGTTGTAGATACTCCTTAAAGCTGTGATGGTAGAAGATGCTCTGACCACTGAGAAAATCGAGAGAGTGCACTGAACTGCCAAGACCACTTTGCCCTCATGCCTGCTGAGCTGCAGCCTCACAAGACCCTGGAAGTGTCTCCCTACCACCCCATAGTGTTGACACGTCAGCTGGAGTCCACCAGCATGGGCTTCAAGACACCCATCCACATCTCACAGGAAGGGAAGATCTGGTGGCTGGAGTTGTGATTCCTGGGGACATGTGGCTTCTGCAGCCCTGCTGGAATCTGTAATTTCTGGTCCAGCACCATGCAGTGCTTTGCTTCTCCTCAATAGTACTACTCCAAGCACTACCCCTATGTGCAGCATGTTTTGGTTTGGAGAAGGAGAGAGGAGTCATACCTTGGAACAGGAAAGGGAAAGACCCTGACAGGTAATTTGAGAAGAATATACCAAAAAGTAGGCTGAAGGTAGGGCCTGAGGGGTCAGATGATGAGGACCAGGCCACCCAGGGCAGCAGCAGTCCTTGACAGGGGGATTACTCACCTGTTGACTCGGACGCTGCCCATGGCTCACTGTATCATCAGATGTCAGGGGGCCAAGGGAGCTGGAATGGCACAGGAACTCATGCAGCAGCACTCACATGGGACTAGGTGGCTCCAGGTTTCACCTCTGGTGAGCTGGGACTGGCATTGCCATTGCAAGTGCTCCTGGGCACGTGTCTGGCAGAGAAGGACAAAGCAAAGCCCAGTCAGAACCTCCCCTGGCAGCACCCATCCCAGTCCAGAGCGGCGGGCACAGGGCTCACAACTGTTTGCTCAGGACAGGTCTGGAGGTCTCCATGGGCACTGTGCCACAGCCTGGCTTAGTCAGATGAGGAGCTGATGGATGCAGACTGGGTCGCATGGCCCGCAGCCCCCGCCCTCCCCAACATCTACTGCCAGCAGGGGAGCAGGGCTGGCTGGTCACTGCTCTCCCGACCAAGGGCACAACAGATGAGCAGCTCACAGGGCCCTCACCCTGAGCCATTATATTAATATCAGAGCTTACACCAGGACGAGAGCTCAGCCAGGCTAAATACCTCACACACAAGGGCTAACAAAGCATGGGCATGCACAGCAGCCCCCAGAGATCCCATCAGCCCAGCCTGACCCAGAGGGGATTTATTTCCAGAGTGCACAGAACATCCCCCCTGTTTCAAAGAAAAGAAGAAAATTAAGTGGTAGAGCCAAAAACGAGAACTGATGGAAAGGAAAGGCTTAGGGGTAGCCAAGGAGAAGCCAGTTAGAGCAAACAAACCTTGCACATGCCCTGTGTACAGCAGCAGAGTCCTGGGAGGATGTGCAGCAGATGTTACGTCTCGATCCAGTCCTCCCAGAATGGAAGAATGCGGAAACCAAAGACTCAAGAGCTCACCTATCTGTCTGCCCAGAGCTGCTGGAAAGTGAAATGAAGTGAAGGGGTAATGACTCACAGATTAGGAAGGGCTTTGTACACCCATGCTAATCCTGCTCTGTAGCCTTTGGATTACAGCAGCCAGTGCAGAGCACAGGATGCAGACAGAGCCAGCTAATTTGTTTACTCCCAGCCTCACTGGTGAGCAACCAGTGGTTGCCAGATATGGGACAAATACAAGGATTTGGGGGTCAAATCTAAGGTTTAGATCTGCTTGTAAATGCTTATGCATGGATAGGAGAGAGGAACAGCAAGTGCTGTCTAAGATGGAAAAGCCGGTGAGAACCGTCCTTGTTTCAATCATCAGTGCTGCAGAATGGGGCTTCATGTGGCTGAGGGAGCCCACCAGCCTTCCCCAGTTGGGAGCACAGACTGGAAAGCATCAAGTAAGAAGCTTCAGACATCATCTCTGATGGGATGAAGTTTAACCAGCAGTTTCTCCTCCTGGTTACTGAGGCAGTTTAAGCTCTGTGGCAACACAAACATGATTGTTCAGACCAAGGGTATTATGGGACCAGGAGAAGACAACAACCTTGTAATCCACAAGTCACCGTACACAGGTAAAAGTAAACAGCTGCCCAAAAATTCCCATCAGGAAAAAGCACTTTGGCACTGAGCTCTGTCAGCTCCCACCCCTTCACTACCCTACCGCATCCAAGTCTTTAAGGAGGGTTAGTTTGGCCAGACACAGGAACTTTTGCTGTTAGCTGGGTAAACCTACAGCAGAACCTGGGGTTGGTAACCTGAATTAATCAGAAATGTTGATATGATGAAGAAAGATCACTTGATGTCCACAGATGGTCCTGCTCGGATAAAGCTAAAATGTAACCTCAGTGATTACACAGTGAGTTTGGGCCGCAGGCTCCCATATGACTCTGGGAGGTGACAAAGGCGGGCAGCGTAGGTACACCCCTCTATGCCAGCCCCAGCCAAGAGAGGAAAGGCATCCTCTCCAACTGGCACCTTCTTTAGGCAGCCTGCATATGCCAAGGTCATCCTTATCCAACGCTGACATTAGTATGGGAGGGAAGGCATTACCACAGTTCACATATATGAATACTTCACAACTTCCCAGAGGTTTCTTACCACCGACAACCCTCTTTCTCCAGATGCAGGAACAGGTGCACAATTTCTAGAGACTGGAGTTGTGGCCCAGGAAGCAGCCAGCTCCAAATAAAGAGGAAGGAAGGAGCTTCTGCTCACTGAAACCATGTGCAACAGCATCTGGATCTCTGCTCCTCACCCTTCCCACCTCTCCAAGAAGGGGCAAAGGAAGCAAGATGAAATACAAGGGCTTTGCTCATCTCTGATTGTGGCTGGTACAGCTATGGGAAGGGATGAGCACACTGTTTAAGAGCGTTGCATCCTGTGCTGTTGTGCTTCCTCCTGGCTCCCACACAGGAGTTCATGTCAGCCACAGCGGTGGCACAGCCTCTTGTGCAGAGCCCCCCACGGCTGGACCGTGCAGCTCAGAGCCTGGGCAGTGTTTGCTGCTGGTTCCGCAGTACCTGAATAGAGTATCAGCAGCTAAAGCCACACCACTACCTGCAACTGATACTTAATCAGAAGGAAAGTATCTCCACAAAGGATAAAGGCTACCAGTCTGAGCACATTTGAGAATGGAAAAGCAAATGCTTTTATTTACAGCAAATAGCTGCAAGTAGGAGACCCATGGTCTCAGTTCGTACACTCATCCATAGAACTCACACAGAATTGCACTCATAGGTCTTTTTCTGCTTACAATTTGAGAATTTTGCTGGTAGATTCAAGGACCTCAGCAATAACAGGCAGAACCTTCATTCCTGAGGCAGGAGCTGCCTGATGGAGCCATTTGCGCCCATTATGAGCCTGTGGGGGTTTTGCCACATGAAGTCCAAGTCGTGCTTCACTGCTCCCAGGCAGGTCTGCTCTCAGGTTTTCATTCTCCAGCTTGGATCTCTCCAGTTGTCCTTGGAGAATAAAGATCTTCTGCTTCAGCCTCTCCATGTTTCCTTCTGCATCCAGAGCCCGCTGGGTCATTAGCTGGAGATGACACTTAGTCTGCTGGACTACGGACTCAAGCTCTCGGGCTTCCCTCTTCCGTTCGGCCAGGCTAGTTTTCAGCTGCTCCTGCAGGCTCGACACCATGCACGCCTGGGTCTCCAAGCTGTTCTGAAAGTTCTTAAACATTCTCCTGATTGTGGCATTGTCCTCCCTGAGCGTGTCATTCTCATCCTTGAGCCTGTCATACTGCTCCCTGAACATGTTGTATTCCCCGCTAAGCACGACATTCTCCTCCATGAGCACAACGTTGTCCTCCCTGAGCCCATAGAAAATCTCCCTGAGCACATAGTTCTCCTCCTCGAGTGCGAGATTCTTATCCTTGAGCACTTTGTTTTCCTCCCTGATCATGCTGTTCTCCTCCCTTAGGATGCTGTAGGTCAGCTGCAGGGATGGGAAATCCCTGTCCCCAAAAACCTCCTTGTGCAGCGTGCAGGACTCTGCTCCTGTGGTGCACTGTGAGGGCCCCACATAGGGGTCACTGGCATGGGTCTGTGAGGCAGCGGCCTCCATCTCCAAGTGCTGGTCTGTATTACTCTGGAAAGAGTCTTGGGAGCCACACGGTGCCATACTGGCCCTTTGGAGACCAGACGACCCCTGATGCCCAGGAAAATGTTGGGTTGGGCTGGGCTCCTTATCTCCAGACAAGTTGTCAGACTTTTTAAAATGGTCTTTGTAAAACGGTTTCTGAAACTCCTGACCTTCCTCCTCAAGCTCCACTTGTTCACCTTCCACCATGTTAGAGTGCCTGGGAGTTAGGGAAAATGGGATGGGTTCTCCCAGATCCTCTGTCTGACTGTCATCTAAGCTGTCATTGCTCTTGCTCGGGGGTGAAGAATGCGCAGAGTGGCAGGAGTACCTGAATTTGTCACTGTCGTCATCATCATCATCTTCCAAGCCTTGAGATTCTGGTAAGACGCTCACCATTGGCCCAGAGATACCAAGTGGCCATGACATTTTTCAGGGTGCTCTGGGCTGCAGAAAGTGGGAGAATCCAAATTATCCTCCTGGAGCCCAGATCACGCAGGCCGGTGACACTGACAAGCAGTGTCAACCTCTGCAGCCTCACTGATGCTTGTGGGAGAAGAGGCAGCCACCAAAATCCCTCCGTCTAGAACAGCAGGGAGTTCAGGAGGGAGTGGAGGGCCAGACACCTCTATGTTTTGGCTCTGGACAACAGCTGGAACAACCAACATTCCAAGGTCTGTGATGTCATTGAGTTCCATGGATGCTGAGTGGTCAGGAGTGGGAGTGGGGGGGGTGTGGCACGGGGTGGGGGGGGGAGGAAACAATCAACTACTCTCCTAATTCTGGAAGGGACTGGGTTAATTTTCTCCCTAGTAGCCAGTACAGTGCTGTGTGTTGGATTCAGTATGAGAATAATGCTGATAACTCACAGATGATATAGTTGTTGCTAAGTAGTGCCTTACTTTAAGCCAAGGATTTTTCAATTTCCCATGTTCTGCCAGTGAGGAGCTGCACAAGAATTCAGGAGGGACCATAGCCAGGACAGCTGATCCAAATTGGCCAAAGGGATATTCCATGCCATAGAACATCATGCCCAGTATATAAACTGGGGGATTTACCTAAAGGGGCCAATCACTGCTCTGGGATGGGCTGGGCATCGGTCAATGGGTGGTGAGCAACTAGGTTGTGCATCACTTTTTCTCTTAGATCCTGTTAGTCTCTCTCCCACTAGTTATTATTACAATTCTTATTATTAATTTGTTGTTGTTGTGGTTCCAGTTATTAAATTGTTCTTCTCTCAACCCACAAGGTTTGCCTTCTCTTTCCAATTCTCCTCCCAACAGGGGCTGAGAACAGGGGGAGAGAGCCAGCAGCTGAGCGATAACTTAGTTGCCAGCTGGGGTTAAACCACAACAACTGCAAAACCTTTTTTTGACAGCAGGAGGATAAACTATCCTGCTGGCTGCAGAGTGGACCCCAACTTGGGGATGCTGCCAGTGGGCAGAGAGCGGGTCATGAAGCCACCTGAGACCTCCAGCATGAAAGAGGGACAGGGACCATCCAGCCCCTGGCAGGCAGCATGGGTCAGAGGGGACAACCCTGCCCATGGGGTACTGAGACATTGCCACCACCAAGTTCAGGCCACAGGCATTTTGGTGCCAGGGCTCACTCTGGGCAGGGGCAAGAGATATCACCAGCCAGAGGCATCACTCCAAGTTGGATGGCCAGTGAGGGGTCCACACAGTGGTG